TTATTATAGTAATTTATTTTATTATTATTATTGTTAAATTGCAATATTCCTTCAAATTTTAAGATGTTTTTATGGCAAATAAAAATTTTAAATGATCAATTTTATTAAATTTTGCTTAGTAATAAGAAGTTAGAAAAGTAATACAAATGTCATAAAATAGGTAATGCTCAGTAGCACACTATTCTTTTCTGTGTTTTAAACATTGAAAAAGAATTTAAATAAAAAATTCATTACCAGCAAAACTTATTAAAATTGATGTGACTGTTAAGCATAGAGCTAAAAATGGCTGTTATTGGTGCATAACACAACACATTTATTTGCAATGACTGTCGATTGTGATATACAGTATAACTTATACATTTTGGAAAGAAGCTATAAAAAAGTATTTTATCTAAAGCTTTTAGTTAATAGATTAATTCAAAATTAAGTAAAATTTAAAAGAATCTATTTACTTACTTTGTTAATATTAATTAATAATTGATACAGTTTATAATATAGTATTTACATTTGTTTCAGGTGGAATCTTCACAGTCTATGATTCGTCTTATTGGTTTATCGGCTACGGTTCCTAATTATTTAGATGTTGCACATTTTTTGTGTGTGAATCCATACAAAGGACTTTTCTATTTTGATGGACGATTTAGGCCGGTTCCATTAGGACAAACCTTTATCGGCGTGAAAACGACCAATTCCATCCAACAAATAGCTGATATGGATGAATTATGTTATAAAAAAATTATCGAAACAGTTAGTCAAGGGCATCAGGTAAGAGTATTAATTGCTTAAATTACTCAAAGTAGAAAAAGTTTTTTCAAAATGTTTATAATTTTGTAATTGTATAATTAAAAATGTTTTAAAAATATGTAATGAATGAACATTTATTTTTTAAAATTAATTTTTGAGAAAAAGAAACAAAAATAAAAAATTAATTTTATATTAGCACCTATTTTCTGATTATTAATAAATTTTGATAATAATGACTATTTGGGATCAGTTAATAAATTTTGATTTTTACAAAATCAGAAAAATGTGTGATAAAACATGGAAAATCTGATGTTAATTCTCTAAAGTAATTACTTAAAATGTAGATTTTAAAGTTAAGTCTTAATAATCTAATTTAGAATTTAAAAATTTATTGTAATTTTTAGAATAAATTGAAATTTTCTGAGAAATTCAGACTAACAAAAAGGCATTTTATTATTCTTTTTTAAAAGGAAATTCTCAGTTCTTCATTTATAATTATAGTTATAAAATAAATTTCAAAATCTTGTCAGAACAATTCATATATATAAGTCATTAATATAAAGTTTTATTTGGTAGAATTTTATCGATGAATCAAATAATAATAATAAAAGAAATATTATTCATTTACTTTTTTTGGGAGGAAAAAATATTAAAAATTTTATTTTTTTAGGTTATGGTTTTTGTTCATGCCAGGAATGCTACTGTTCGGACAGCAATGGTTCTTAAAGATATAGCTCAACAGAAAAATCAGTTATATTTATTTCAAGCTGAACAAAATGTGCAATATTTTGCTGCAGACAAGCAGGTAATTTATTAAAACAAATACTTTTGTATTTTTAAAATACATGTAAAAATATCAATGTCGATACTGATCTAGAATATATTTTTATATGAAACATTAAATGTTAGTAATCTGTTCTATGAAATGAATTAAGCAATAAATGAAAGCACATTATAGAACTTTCAATTTTGATATACTGTATTGTCTACATCAGGGGTGGCAAACCTATGGCTTACATGCCCAAAGTGGCACATAAGGAGAAATCATCTGGCACATAACATATCATACATTTTCGATTCAATCATCCTTTTGGTTTATCACCTGATCATCCTTTTTTAAACAGTTTTTTACACTTATTGTAATTAAAGCATATTCATTTAATTTATTTAAATATAGCTATTAGGAGTGTAAAACTTTGGCAGGCATAAACATCTTTAAAGCTAAGTTTGCTTACAATATGGCATGTAGGCTCAAAAAGGTTAACCATCCCTGGTCTATATAATAATATATTTTTTTATAGAAAGGTGAATAAAACAAAATTATAATTTCATTTTTTTGGTTATTTTGATAAGATGTCAAGCAAATAGAATAAAATTAATTTTTTGCTTGAAGTATGGAATTTATTTTTTAATAAATAAAATATAAAATCTATGAGTTTTAACTCTGTAATTCTTTATTATCAGGTGAAGTAAGTATTTCAAATAGCCAAACAAATGATTTATGCCAATCCAAAATGCATATGTAGAAGAGAAAATTGATTAATAAATTGTATGTTGTTAAACCAATGGATATTCATTTAACTGTTTGAAGTACCACATCTGATAATAAAGGATTATAGAGTTATAACTCATAAGAATACATCTACCCTATAACAAAGGATATAAAATCTAGTACAGTAGAACCTCGATTATCCGGATTTTCGATTATCCAGATTGTTCANATTTGCACTTGGCGAATTACGATAGTGTTTATGTACTTGATGGAATGCATAACTTTTTTTGTTTCAACGTCTCACCCGGAACAGTGGCCGTAAACTCTTAAATATATTTTACGTAGTAATAAAAATATAACTTGACATACTTATTTATAAATAATTTATATTCAAATTACATCATTTCTATGACCAAGGGCGGCGTAAGGCATGGGCAACGTGGGCCACCACTTATGCCTTGCTGTCTGAAGGGCCTCGCATTTCGAAGGTTTTGCATTACTTAAAAGCCATGAACGCGACAAAAAAATTTTACTCGTCATAAAACGATAAATAGTTTGACAAACTTTTATTCATAAAAATGCAGTTTCAACTGCTTTTTATTTTATAAAATCCATCTTCTTGTGCCACCAGAGGGCCTTTTAAACAATAGGTAGTCTGTTAGCATTGGTCAGTAGTAGTCCAAATTCAATACGAATGTTTGTTTCTTGAAAATTTGATCACAATTTAAATACAGTATTTACTTTTAATATTATCGATATGTCATCGAAAAGAAACGTGTTGTATTATCATTAAAAGACAAAGTATTTGTTTCGATTATCCGAATTTTTCCTTATCCAGACTACCTTCATCCCCAATTAGTCCGGATAATTGAGGTTCTACTGAAATTGGAAAGACTTTCAAATTGATGATGAAATTTAAGTTAATAGTTTAATGGAACAATATAAAGTTCAGTTCTGCATAAGTATTTGAATTTCTTAAATAAAAACAAAATCAAATAATGAAAGTGATCAATAATTTTACTTATAATTGTTAACTTTCAATAGTGATTAATAATTTTATTTTCAATTAAAGTAATAGTTTAAAAGACTTTACACTCATGATCTGAATACTTAAGCTACAAATATTAAAGTAAAAAGAAAGAAAAACTGACTTTTAAAATAATTTAAGTTGTTAAATGTTTTTCCTAAAACTGTCTACATATGATCAGATCACAAACTGAAATTTTGAATTTTAAAAGATGGTTTTGAACAATACTTTATTGAATATTTCATTTTTCTGTTTTATTTAGGTTTATGCTGTTTTAAAAACAACATTAAAAATTGCCATTTAATTGAATGCTTTAAAGAAATATTGTTCAATGATATAATTTTCTACAGCATATGCTAAATTTGATAGAATTCATCATGTGTTGTAGAATAAGAAATATAAGAACAGTTTATTAAATAAATTTTTGTTTCAGTGAGAGGAGAAAAGCCTTTATCTGTATAATCTTTATTTTTTGAATAATAAATGAAACATTATTTT